CCAAATGACATGTCAAATAATAATTTGCATAAGCTAAACAAACACCAAAGTCCATGTTGTATTAAACTCTAATTTCTGTTATAATCATTGCTGCTTATTGCCGTTTTTGAACAATGCAGATGCACAAAATACCTTTGTAACTGGCTAAGCTTGGTCACGTGTGGCACTTATATGGTTTAAAATTACGTGTAGGATATAAAGAAAAGCAAGCTACAATAATAGGAGAGCCCTGCCCTGTGTGTGTGTGTGTGTGTGTGTGTGTTCAGATTTGGGTTATTTATTGACTTATTTTGTCCCCTTATTAATAAACAGTATAATTTACACCTTGGAGTTTAGTAGCATTATGAACACTACTAAAATGTGGGGTTGCTTACAAATGTTTTAGTTTTTCGAAAAAAAAGACTTGTTTTTATCGAACAAAAAAGTTAAACATATTAGAATTATACTGTAAATGACAGTAAATAATCATATAAGCCTGAAAACACTTCTACATAGAGTCAGTGTCACTCTGGCCCTAATGCAGGTTTAGAAGATATAAATTTGGCTAGTCGAAAATCTGAGAATGGCCAAGGAAACGATAAAGATGGATAAGGAAAAGACACTGAGTAAAGGAATCTATGGCCTTTTCTTGTCAACTCTGCCCAGAAGGACAGCATCCTGGAGTCCCCCGCTATACTGCCGACACTGAGACTGATGCATGTAGGTACCATATAATGAAGCTGCCGGTTGAGGACCTTTGAGGCATCTGTTTTTCAGACTAGACTCTGATGTACTTCTCCTCTTGCTCAGCTGTGCTCCGGGACCTCCCACTTCTCTTTCTGTTCTTTGTTAGAGCCAGTTTTGCTGCTCTGTGAGGGGAGACGTGCATGCTGTTGAAGTCTTTAAGTTTTCCTTGGCAGTTTCCCACATGGAATAGCCTTCACTTCTTAGAACAAGAACACTCTAACGAGCTTCAGAGGAAAGTTTTTTATTTTTAAATGGGGCAATTTGAAACTATCATTGAACCCACAAGGCTGATGCTCCAGACACAGAACTAACCAATTCTCTACTAATCAGAAGAGTGCCAACCTAACTGTAAAAAGGTCTTGGTAATGATCAGTCAGCTTTACAATAAGTGACACAGCGTATCAACGGAGGACTAAAAGTAGCTGAAAATTAACCTCTGGAGCTATTCTAGTAAATATAATTAGTGATTGCAATGATTAATGATACTACATGCCATTATCTAAAATTTCTAAACAATTAAAAAGTTATTTTATGAGAATACAACGGTACACTACAGGGCCTCCTACACATTACACCTACAGGACCTGCTCAGCCATGGAAAACCATGCTATGAAGCTCCCAGTGCACAGTTTTTGTGCTGATGTTAATACCAGAGGAGGTTTGGAGCTCTGCAGTAACTGAGTTAACAGAGCTTTGATAGCACTGTGCGCCTCAGCACTCAGCAACCCAGATGTGGAACTTTATGTGAGCCGGCATTTTGCTGTACCAAACATCCACTTTGCATTAATATCATTTACATTTGATGGTGGAATTTCACAACTCATCGTTGCAACGGCGGAAACCTATTACAGTACCACTCTCTTCAGAGCAACCCACTGTTTCAAAAATATTTGTAAAGGCAGGCTGCATGGCTACACCAATTTGCATTTAATCACTAATTATTATGAAGTTATTATTAAGCTCTCACAGAGTGTCTTTTGTCCTGTCTCCCTCCCCAGCCCCTCTGAGCATGGCTCTGCCAGAGGTTTCTTCCTGTTAAAAGGGAGTTTTTCATGTGATTTTTAGGGTTTTCTCTCTATTATTATATTAACTTTCAATATAAAGCACCTTGAGGAAACTGTTATTGTGATTTGGTGCCATATAAATAAAACTGAATTGAACTGGATCCTCTGTGTTTCTGTTTATACACCTGTGACGAGGAGACTGAAATCACATGAATTCAAAGATTAAGAAATGTGGCCCAACACTTTTGTCCATATCGTGTGTCATCGTTAAAAACAGGGACATTTGTCAGCGACTACAAACTTTTGTAGTACATGGTCAGACACAAGGTTCCTGTTTTCAAACAAGCTGAGAGCCTTTTTTTCCTGACAGCCGGAGTCTTTTGGCAGTCAGCAGAATCATTCAACACGCAACTACCATAAGATCTTATGGCGCAACAAAGTCCTCGTTAAAGGCCTCTACTGAGTCTGCCCTACTTCTTTGTAGGTCATGGGCTTATTTATATATCCATCTCTGATTCAGTTTCTTGGATGCATGGTATACCAAATCCCATTTTTTCCCCAGAAAACATATGGAGACAAAAATAAAAATGACCACTATGAGACTTCTCTATAAGTTAGGGTCTCTCTAAATAAGATAAGAGAGATCTGTGTAGCATGCTATCAAGATCACCTGGTTTATAGATTCAAGAGTAGATATGCACAGTCTTTAGCACAGGTATAATTAATATATGTTCACATGACAATGAAATCATAACACATGGACCCAGACTTAAGCTCTGGAACATAGTACATGTAAACAAACCTATAGTGTGTTTTGCAAATGCTGAAAGAAAAATATCCAAAAAGTAAGTAGCATAAAATAATTAATATACTTCTTTTTGTTTTAGGTTAAAAGACAAAAATAAAAAAATAAATAAAAAAAAACATTTAATGTCTTTTCCTCTTATTTCTCATCTTTCTGTCCCTCCTGTTTGTCCACACAGCTGCTATTCCAAAGTGAAACCCTGCTGAAGGATTTTCAGGAATGTGTGCCAGGAGGCCTGGGACAACTAAATAAAGACAAAAATTAATGCTGTACCACTGAGAATACAATTTAAAGGAACACATGTACAGCTAGGATCACATCAGTTTGCTTCAGCTTGCAGTAACTAATGACACTTAGATCCATCGTAAGTGGTTCCTACTTTACTCAACAGGATGTTGGCAAAGAAAAATGTAACAATATAAGAAGCAGTTAGGCCATTAAAGAACTTTGGTACAGTTGGTACATATGGCACACCTTGAACTTACCATGGTTACTATAGCCCAGACGTTAAACTAAGGTGACTGTTGGTTGTTGGTGCCAGTGGGCTGGACTCAATATTATTACACAACCTCTAAGCTATGCAGACGAGCATCTCCAACAACACTTCAAACCTTGACGCAGATGGGCTTCAGCAGCAGAAAACTCCACCCGGTGCAACTCCTGTCAGCTAAGAATGGGAAACTGAGATTACAAAAAGCAAAATCACCAAAATTAGACAATAGCAGATTGGAAAAAGTGTTGCCTGGTCCGATGGGATGGTAGGATCAAAATGTTGCGTAAACAGCATGAAAGCATGGATCCATCCTCCCTTGTGTTAACAGTTCAGCCTGATGATGGTGGTGTAACGGTTGGAGATCTTTTCTTGGCGCACTTTGGGCCCCTTAGCCCCAACTGAGCATCATTTTAATGCCACAGTCTGAGTCCTGTTACTATGTCCATCCCTTTATGACCACAGTGTACCCACCTTCTGATGGTTGCTTCAGCAGGATTTGAACGCACCATGTCACAAAGTTCAAATCATCTCAGGCTGTTTTTTTGAACATGACTGCATTCAAATGCCCTCCACACTCACCAGATTGGGTATGTTGGAACAGAAGATTCAAATCATGGATGTTCTGAGTGATGCTATCACGTCAACATGGACCAAAATCTTTGTTTTCTTTGTTGAATCTACACCATGAAGAGTTAAGGCAGTCCAAGCGAATACAAGCAAGATGTACCTAATAATGTGGCTGGTGTAAAGCTTATTTTATCATCTTTGGCCAGTAAAAAAATACCTTCATATTAGTGATGTTTACAGGTGTAAACTTGAAAGATGTCTTTCAGGAATCTTTTATTTCTTGCTGTCACTTAGACTCAACAGCAGTGTTGCCAAACCTTTACGTCAAAAGAAAAGAAACCCATTAACAACATTGAGCTGCCAAGAAGTCCTTTATGCAAATTCTTCACTTGGAATAAATGCACAGCCTGTCTCGAAGTGTAGAATCCCATGAATAGTAAAGATGTTTTTTAAAAAGAAAGGGAAACAAAAGGATGCTATTAAATTATTAGTGCTTTATTGGTGATGCTTTGATGACTGCAAAGCTGAATTCTTCATGTATTAAATGAATCCCTGAACTAGGCAAAGATTTTGGCGATGAACTCTTTGAAGCGTTTAGCGTACTGCTCTGGATGAACAGTTGAGATCTCAGCTCCTGCCTACAAAACACAGACACACAGTCGATCAGAAATAAGTAGAAGCAGCCCTTTACACTTTGCAGAGCACTGATCTCTCACCCCGTGTTTGACAGCCTTGGCAGCGTGAGCGGCTTTCTTCTTGGTGTCGTACTGCGTCAGCACGTCAATCAGACCCATAAAATACACCTCCCTACGGGGCGCACCTACAAGGGAGCGATTCACAGTGTTTGGCGAGCGATATTGATCTGCGCATATGATCTTATCTTGTGCAGCACAGTGTGAGAGGAAGTTTCGGTGGGTGAAAAAGCGCAGGGCTCCTATCTCGGCTGTCGGGACTCACCCACAGCGCTCTGAATAGCGTACACATCCACATAAGGGTCGAAATCCCCGGGACCCATGGGTTTGAAGGAGTTCATGTAGCCGGTAATGCCTTCAGGGGAGGTGGAGTGGGGAGCAGGAGCAAGGCCATTTTCATCATCCTCTTCCTCCTCATCGGACAGCTCCATCTCCTCCTCCTCCTCCTCCATCTCGGCTCTTTCGACATCGTGGATACCGAGCAGCAGGCTGTAGTCCATGATCCTCATACGTACAAGAAACTGCAGTGAGAGAAATAATTACACACCAGAGACAAGAAACACAAAAATCCCCCACAAAAAGCAACGCCTCTCTTACCTCAGTGTCTCTGTTGAGCTTGTCCATTATTTTCTCCTTCTCTTCATCACTCACATAAAC